CAGTGTACAACAGCGATTCCATAGTCATAACTGCAGCAGTGTACAGCAGCGAGTACATATCCACAACAGCAGCAGCGTACAGCAACAATTACATATCCATAACTGCAGCAGTGTATAGCAGCGATTACATATCCATACTGCATCAGTGTACAGCAGCGATTACATATCCATAACTGCAGCAGTGTGTAGCAGCGATTACATATCCATAACTGCAGCAGTGTGCAGCAGCGATTACATATCCATAACTGCAGCAGTATACAGCAGCGATGACATATCCATAACAGCAGCAGCGTACAACAGCGATTACATATCCATATCTGCAGCAGCGTACAACAGCGATTACATATCCATAACTGCAGCAGTGTGCAGCAGCGATTAAATATCTATAACTGCAGCAGTGTACAACAGCGATTACATATCCGTATATGCAACAGTGTACAACAGCGATTACATATCCATAACAGCAGCAGCGTACAGCAATAATTACATATCCATAACTGCAGCAGTGTACATCAGCGATTACATATCCATAACTGCAGCAGTGTACATCAGCGATTACATATTCATAACTGCAGCAGTGTACAACAGCGATTCCATAGTCATAACTGCAGCAGTGTGCAGCAGCGAGTACATATCCATAACTGCAGCAGTGCAGTGTGCAGCAGCGATTACATATCCATAACTGCAGCAGTGTACAGCAGCGATTACATATCCATACTGCAGCAGTGTACAGCAGCGATTACATATCCATAACTGCAGCAGTGTGTAGCAGCGATTACATAGTCATAACTGCAGCAGTATACAGCAGCGAGTACATATCCATAACAGTAGCAGTGTACAGCAACAATTACATTTCCATAACTGCAACAGTGTACAGCAGCGATTACATATCCATAACTGCAGCTGTGTACATCAGCGATTACATATCCATAATTGAAGTAGTGCACATCAGCGATTACATATTCATAACTGCAGCAGTGTACAGCAACGATTACATATCCATAACTGCAGCAGTGCACAGCAGCGATTACATATCCAAAACTGCAGGCAGTGTGCACCAGCGATTACATATCCATAACTGCAGCAGTGTACAGCAGTGATTACATATCCATAACTGCAGCAGTATACAGCAGTGATTACATATCCATAACTTCAGCAGTGTACAACAGCGATTACATCTACATAACTGCAACAGTGTACAGCAGCGATTACATATCCATAACTGCAGCTGTGTACATCAGC